AAGGCCCCACAAAGATAGCAAAACAAACCTGTGTGTGTGTGTGTGTGGGCATGCATTTTGTCAAATTCAAGCTTCTTCTTTTTTCTCAGATGTGCCGTCTTCAACAACAGAGGTGTCGGAGGGGAAGAGCTGTTGGTGTGTATCATCGTTTAATTCATGCATCTTACCTCAAAAGACTGTGTGTGTAGGGCTGCTATAGCTCAGTGGTCAGTGCTGTGGCCTCGTAATCCTGAGGCTGCAGGTTCGAGGTTCTTATAGGTGTGTAATGAATGAAGAGCATTTACATTCCTAGTTATTAGTGATGATCTCCTCCCAGTGTTTACTTCTAAAAGACTCAGCCTCTTGGGGATGTTTTTCATGTTAGTGAGCTGCTTACTAAACTTATGTTCCTAAGCATTATTTAACCATACCAGTCTTTATAAGCACATATTCCAAAATTTTTGTCCTAATTGTCTAAAATTAAATCCAGAGCTAGTTTTTTATTTATTTTTTTTTCAAACAGCAAAATAAATTGTGAATTAATAAACTGTTGCAGTTGTATTTTTGTATTACACTACTGGCTAACTTTCCTTTGGAACTAACTAATGTTGTGCTACATCCCTCCATATTAACATGTCACTTAATATAGAATGGAATGATTTTTATTTTTACTCTGTGGCTCAATTACATTGATTTTGGGAGAGCTTCTTACATTGATATAGGCCTCGCGTGATAAATGAAAATTATCGACCTCATTTTCATTTATCGGCTTTATCGTTACTTCATGTCTCTCTCTTTCTACTGAAGATACTGGATGACAAAATTTCAACTCCGGTGCTCTTCACTGACACCTCCCTTTCTCTTTAAAATTTGTTCTAAAATCACGTTTTTGGAACGTTAAATGCAGCCAAGCTGATAAGCTAAGCTAACAGGCCGACCTCGGGGAAAAAACCTCAGTCATGTAGAAGCTTCAAAATTCACCGTTGAAACCTGTGTCTTTGTGTAAAAAGTAGTTTTTCTCTGCAAAAAGAAGCTGAAAACTTGTTTGCTGATTTTTATTTTAATTAAGAGCTTTGTTTGACAAATGCTATGCTAAAGAGCTCAAAACACACTTAGCGTCCGCCATTTTGAGAACTGGAAAAAACAAGAACGAGAGACAGCCTGTGTTGCCAGGTGAGCAATGTAGGATTATCGTACTAGAGTCATAAAATTATCATATTTTGAGGGAAATTATCGTACACCCGTCATAACCAAAATAACAAATCTATTTATGCACTATAGTAGTGATGGGTCCACTTCCAGACCGGCTCTGCTTCTTCTTCTTTTGCAAACGCAAACATGTCACTTGTAGGTAACATTTAGAAAAGCACGATTGTGTGGAATTTCCAGCCAATCGTGCATCTGTTTGCGGACACAGATGCCCTCAGGGTTCACAAAAAAACTCTGACAAACAGCTGCGAGAGGCTGATGACAACCGATTACAACCACACATTCACGGAATGGTCAAATTATCATATATTTGGTCTTTTTTGGGAGTATTAATCGTACAGAGGGCAAAATTGTCGTACAAATATGATAATTATCGTACACCTAGCAACACTGGAGACAACCCATGTCACGTCAAGTGGCCTCCCTCCCATTTTCCTTAAAGAGACACGTTGCTCTCTCCCTCACTATCCTTCGGTTCAAACAGTCTTAGACTGCCATCCGGTGGTCGAAAGGTACTACACACAAAAATTAACCGACATTTCTTCTTAAATTTGACAATAATGACTAATTATTGTCAAATTTCAAACAATATTGTCATTTATTGCAATAATTTCTGAGACAATTAATCGCCCAGCAAAATTTGTTATCGTGACAAGCCTACATTGATGTATCTGGAACAGCTCTAAGAAACGGTACAAATAAAAAAAAAAAATTGAATGATCACTAAACAACCATGTAATAAAGGCAATAAAAATATACATAAAATAAAACACTACTAGTCTATTATAAATGTTCTTATCAACACCATCTGTTTTAAAAGCTGAACTATAACCCCAAAACGTAAAGCTTAGTTTTGTTTCAGTAAGTTGCAAAAAGCTGCCGTCCCTGGCTGCTGTAAATTATTTTTATTTCAGATGTCTACTTTTTTTTTACACAGAATTATGAGTCCAGTTTGAACACACCAGCCTTACACGGCACCCGATACTTTATTTTCTGATGAGATTATTATGAACTTTGTCGTATAAGTTCAGTGTAACTTTAATTCAAAAACTGTAAACACTCTGTCACTTCAGCTCTGAATTTTTCACTCCTCCTGTGGATTTCTGCTTCTTTCAGACCCCGGTCACCTACTGCGCTGCCAACACTTCAGATCTCGATCGAGTGATGAGACACATCAAAGAACTTTATCCTCACGCTCCTGTGCTTGGTGCTGGTGTATCTATGGGAGGGTAAGCTGTAGTGTTTAATACAGTGACATTTTAAACTGTTTCACATTTATACAAGCATAAATCTGATTGTTTTTCATCTCAACCCTCCCTCAGTATGATATTATTAAACTACCTGGCCCATAAGCGCACAGAGTCCGGAATGGTAGCAGGAATCACCATCTCTGTCGCCTGGGATGCACAGAAGTCGTCTGATTCCATGGAGGAGCCTCTGAACTGGCTTCTCTTCAACAAACACCTCACACGTGGCCTGTGTCGAACCGTCACCAGGTAAGACTGTTGTTACACCAACAAATAGGGTGTGTAGACTCTGTTTTTTGAACAAAGGAATCTGTATTTCTCTCTCAGACACAGGAAGATCCTTGAGAAGGTGGTGGATATCGACTATGTACTGAAAGTATGGCACATTAGTGAGAGGGTAATTTTTAAATGAGCTTAATTGAGTTTCTCTGCCAGCATCACCTTGCTTCACCCTTCCTTTTAGGCACGGACCATCCGTGAGTTCGATGAGCGCTTCACGTCTCTGCTGTTTGGTTATAAGTCTTGTATAGATTATTACCGTGATGCCAGCCCAGGCATGAAACTCCCACATACTGCCGTTCCAATCCTGTGTCTCAACGCTGCTGATGACCCCTTCTCTCCCCAGCATGGTGACTAATTCAATTAATCATCCAAACACTTTTTACAGACAGTCTCATTCAGCGGTGTATCACCTTTTATGTTTTCTAACACTTGATTGTATTTCTTGCTTCAACAGCTTTCCCGGTGCCTATAGTCCAGAGCCTGCCGAACGTCGCCCTTCTGCTCACGGCGCACGGCGGACACATCGCCTTCTTGCAGGGTTTGTTTCCGCGCGGTGAGAGCTACATGGAGCGCCTGTTTGGCCAGTTTGTTCGAGCAGCCTTTGAGCACCAGAGGGACATCAAGAAAGCTTGTGGCGTCGAGTAGAACCGAAAGTGTAAATAACACCGTCTCTGCAAACCGGGAAACAAAGTCTCAGAAATGTGCTGCTTAGCCTTGCATGCCATTATTCATTCTTATACACGTTTGTTTGTTTTCAGTGAAGTTATTGCACAATTGTTAGACATTAGAGCAGGTTTGTTAATCTACCTCCTCACCATCTCAAGTTCTCCCTCTGCAGACGGTCAGAGGAAGTTGTCAACAGGTGGTGAACTCATTACGGTGGCCCTAAGGTGTAAATGAACAACATTTGAAAAAACAGAATTACATTTGAAAAAATGTAATCACATTAGAGAAATTGAATTACATTTGGAAAAAACGGAATCACATAAAAAAAAAAAATGGAATCGCATTAGAAAACATGGAATTGCATTAGAAAAAAATTAAAATTATATTATTTTGAATGATTCCATTTTTTCTAATGCAATTCCATTTTTTCTAATGTTGTGTTTTTTTTTTTTTTCATATATAATCCTGTTTTTTCAAATGTTGTTCATTTACACCTCAGGGCCACTGTAACTCATGGCATGGAGGCCATTTTTCAAGTATGATATCCCTGAGCATATGAAAATCTTTAACCTGTGTCCACACCTAAATATAATTATGAAAATAAAGTAGACTCTTGACCCCATGACCCGAAAAGGAAGAAGCAGGTAAAGATAATGGATGGATGGCGTAGTCTATTGAATATACGCATCTTTTTAGTTCTTCTCCATCAGGATTTGTCCCATCTACAAACTAGAAAACTGTGAAAATAGAATTTAAACTTATTCCCTTTCCAAAAACGTGTTCAAAGGGCCTAACCTATAGCTGTTTTGTGTAATAAAGCTGTAGGTCAGATCTTTTGAAGTGGGTTTCTGTGAAAAAGTAATAAACAATATCTTACCTGTTGTAGATATATTTTTGAGTTACCCCAGCTTGAAGAAATAGTTTATTTCTGACCAGATTAATAAATTAAATGGCTAATCTAAACAGGGCCAAAGTGGATTTATTCTACCACCTTAAAACAATATTGCGGTTTATGCTAACAATATTTTATGATCCTTTACGTCGCTGTCAACTTTATATTACACGGTTATGTATACAACAACTCTACGTGTACATGCAAGTTCATCCTGCAGAAATAATGGAGTAATGTAAAATTGGCAGCAGCTTAAAGCTTTATAAAGTAGAGCTCGCATAAACTGATGTAATCTTTCTGAGCTTGGAGCTGTTTGAAGGTGGCAGCCCTTCTCGGACTAGCCTTTAACTCATCAATCTGGTGGTAAATAATTTATTTCTCCAAGCTGAAGTTAGTCAAAAAGCTAAAACAGATATGTTCATAACCTTTCCATAAAAAAGCAGGTGTTGCTGTATACGTTGCCAGCCGATCCCAAGGTTGAGGCGAAACATCATGTAGGGATATTAATAGGATCTAATCAACTTTAAAAATGATTTCCAATGACATTTCTAGGCTTAACTATTATAAGGAAATAAGAAAGTATTGTATATTAATTGCCAAAGCTCTGTTAAAGGTCTTATTAGCAACACTTGTACACTTCAACCAGCAATGGTTGGGGTCAAAAGCTGAAAAGCCTGTGATCATCTGATAAAAGAGCTAATTTTACCTGATAGTTCCTTATTATTTTTGCAGAAATTTGACTTGAATTTAATTTAAATTGAATGTAAACTGGCACTTGACCTGTATACATACTGTTTGATGATTGTATTTCAGCGTGCACTTAATATAAAAAGTGTCACTTCATTGTCCCAATACCAAGATGAGTATTACTTTATGATTCATGCCGTTTTACCAAGAAACCTCTGTGGTTTTACTCCTTAACAAGAAGTAAATTCAGCCTTAACTCATGATCATATATAGCAGCTAATGATGCTAGTTTTCTGCCTTTGAAGCATGAAGATGACTCATTTTTTTATTTTTGACATGCACCTTTTTTAATCTGTATGAGTTGTAAACACAATCACGCCTGTAATTATGATGTGCAGCATATTAAAGCTGAAATATTTGGGCATTGTACCTCACGTTTTTGTTTGTTTGTTTGTTTGTTTGTTTTATTCATTGCACTTAATTATGAAATAAAAGACATGAACATAATTTAATTGTCAGCTGGTGATTTTTTATTTATTTTTTATTTTAGTTTGTTATAAATTATAAATAGTCTATAAAGACAAAACATTTTTTGTTTCATTAGTAGCAATAAATTCAACCCAGGCTTGTTTTACAGTATTTAACCAGTCCTAAAAAAAATTAATTAAAAAGGCACAAGATGTGCAGATCTAAACATTCAATATCCGTTTGGTTCCAAGGCTTAAATCCAAGATCTGTTATCTCTGAGCGGTGGAGTCATTAACGTCGCTGATTAACCCAAAATATATTAATAATTAACCGTGAGCAATAAAGGCCTGCACCCTTTGTCACAATGCTAACCGCTTCAACCGCATTTAGATCTGTAAAACATTCAGTGGACAAATAAAAAAACAAATGGGCACTTTCCTGCACTGGGAGATACAATTTGAAGGTTGAACTGGTTGACTTCTACAACTAAACTCCTGCTGTGTCAGACAAGAGAGGAAAATGCATAAAAGACTGTACTTTTCTAAGAATAAGAACTTTATTTAAAATTAATTTGTTCATTCAACCTTTATTTATACAGGTTAGTCCCATTGAGCTTCTGGGACTCATTTACAAGAGAGACCTGATTCTAACAAAGAGTGAATATAAGTAAATATAAAATAAGAGTAAAATTAAAGTATCATTCCCTCAAAAGATGCAAATCAACTTTCTGTGCCAGTTTCCAAACGATGGTGCATCTGATGATTAATTCCTGAACAATTAATTAAAATCCGTCCTGTGATTCACGAGATATTTTGCTAACTGTCAAAGTCGACTCCGAACCGTCAATGGGGGAAACTTTAAAACCGTGACCTTGTTAGTGCTCAGAGTGTGTGTCGATCAGTTTCAGTTAGTGCCGCGCTAATATTTGTGTATTTGACAGAGATGTAGACGTTTTATTTGCTTTCTGAGGTCAGTTGGCTATGGAGGCCCATTTTAAATTAAAAAGTTAATTATTTGTAGTTCTACACCAAATACTTACTGTTTGCAAAGTTCTTTAAAATGTGTCCAGTGGTTCATGAGATATTTTGCTAACGGATAGAAAAGCACACGCACAGATTTTTATATTGGTATTACTTGGAATAATTTTTTCTTCTTCTAATGATCAAACATTTTCTCTGGCAGAGGGATCCCCCCACCTCCCCCATTTCCAGACCGCCCCTCTCCTCCACGCTGTTCCCACCTGGTGGGATGGGCGGAGCCTCAGGGTGTGGGTTAATGATTCAGTACCACAGCAGCTGAGTTTGACAGATCTGGACAGAGAAAGGAGGAGGAAAGACTGAGAGAAGTGCAATACAGTTCAATGTAGGCTAGATAGAAACAGAAAAATAATAAAATAAAGGTGGTGATGTTAGAGAGCACATGCTCTGTGTGTGTGTAGAGTTGAACAGGTTACAGAAGCAACTCCACGACCAAAAGTGGAGATTTAAATCAGTGCAGGTTGATCGTTTTGGCTCCTTTTGATCCATGCGGCTTCGTCTCTGCTGACCACCCACCTCCTGCAGGTAAGATCACCTGTCCTAACTTCTTATAACTGCACACCACATGAAAAGTGATGCATTTTCCTGTGCTGACGAGACATTTCACAACACAGTTATGCATTGATTTTAAACTTCAGATTGAAATATATAGAAAGAACTATATATTTTAAATTAAATAAAACCAGAACCTGAAGTTTGGGTGTAGAAAACAATGATTTATTTGTGGTTATAAAGCTATAAAGTTATGACAGAAAGAGCATCTTAAACAGACCAAGCCTGTTTTATTACTGCACGTTTTATGAGATTTCATGTGTAGTTACACATTCCCTTGAATTATTAATAAAGCAGCAGGAAGTGTACAGTGTGCTGGCAGCATGGGTGTGATGATGGAGCATCATGTTCCTGCAGGAAAACCGATTTCCCCAATCCCTTCCTGCATACAGATCCTAAATAAACTGTTTTTTTTTTCTAATACATTGTTGTAATGTGTTCGAGTTATGGACTGTGGGTTTTTTGTGGGAGCATGTATTGAATAAACGAGTAGAGATTCATGAGGATCTCTGTCCCACTTGCTCCAGGCTATTGTATGTTGTGGTTTCTCATTATTAAATGTTGACTTGGGACCACTAAAGGTTATCACCCCAATTTGTTCTTGAGTTATTTCTTTAAAGTTCCTCAAAAGCTTACAAACTGGATTTGTGCACAGATCTTATTGTCTGTACTATGGTAACTGGTCAATAAAACACCTGCGGCATTGTTCCCAGCTCTGTGGTTGCTTGAGTTTCCATGCTTTATCAGTGTCTCTTCAGATGATGAAGCGTAGCTGAAAATGTGTCGTTTATGTGGCTGAAGGTGCCGCAGAGTTCTTGATCTTAGTCCATTTCATCTTCTGTGTGGATCTTCATCAAAGCAGCAGGAACTTTTTATGTCCTCTGTCGCAGTTTTACTCGCACTATTGCTCTCCAGCTTTATGGTTTGCTTTAACGTCCCGTCTAATCTCAGAGCTGTTCAACGTTCAGGGTGAGGCAGCAATAATTCGGGGTCACATAATAAAGTGTGCAATCATCACCAGCAAACAGTTTGTGCATTGCTGGTTTCCGTTTTACACTTTATGTTTAAAAGAAACTGTGTTTCGTTTATTGGTCAGAAACGCAGTGAACTTGTTTGAAATATTCTTTATTCTGCAAAATTAAAAAGATAAAAAGGAAAACGTTGCAGAGCTTTTGTGAACAGGTTGTCTCTGTGTGTGTGTTTAACATAGCCCCCACATGCTGCTTCATTAGTTTGCTTTAATTTAAACCCTTACATTTATTGCAGAGCTTAATGATCTGTCACATTATTGCACATGCACGGAGACAACATGAAGTGGTGAACGTATAAAGCTGGCAGGATGTGGCAGCGTTCATGGAGCTCACTGCTGGCTGTCCATCATTAGTCTGCATTATTTAGCAACTCTCATGCTGTGGCACATGCAGTGGAAATGGATCCAGTATTTGGTAATAAAACAAAAAATTTACAACATAAAATTATTTAAAAAATCTGTCATGGGTTTGTGAGTGCATCACTCTACACATTTCAGTGCGTTTCTTCCTGATACACAATTTAAAATATCTTCATTTTATGAACGCGCACTTATTTTTCTGTTTGTAATTTCCTGTAAACGGCAGTATTTGTAATTAATTATTTCTGCACACTTTGTGCCCTTTTAGCTGATCACTTACCAAAACATTCAGCTCATTCAGGAGATACAGTAGATGCTACGACATTTTGTTTTTAATAACTTTTATATATATATATATATATATATATATATATATATATATATATATATTCATATTTATCTTGATTTACAAATGTCTGAAATCATACGTACTTATAGTACTTTTAATTTTTAGCTTATCTTTTGCTACTTTTAGCTTTTACTTTCCTACCACTTTTAGCCTTTAGCCTATACTTTTAACTTTTAAGCAGCATTTTGCTATTGTTAGCCTTTAACTAGCCTTTTGCTAATTTGAGCTTTTAATCTTTTGTTACAATTCAGCTACTTTTAGCTTTCAGCTCCTTCACTTCTTTCCAGTTTTCACTTAATTTGTTTTTGCAGAAGATGCGGGTTGTCTGGTTACATCCAATCATCCTCCGTGATTTTGTTTGTCTCCTTTTCTCCAGAGCGATGGAGAAGCAGGTACAGGATCTGAAGCTTCAGCTGGAAAAGCAATGTCTGATCAACCAAGAGCTAAAGAGGCAAAACAAAGATCTGGGTGAGTAAAACAAACGCTGTCAAATCTCTTTTGTTTCCAGCTATAACCAGCATGAAGACAGGGGAAAAGCAGACTCAAATTTTGGATGACAGCTCAGAAGACGACACCTGTACTGAAATAATTCATGAAGTGTCAGAATAATTTTTTTCAAGTTGCGTCTTTACTACATGCCACCAATTTATTGTGGATAAATTTGATCACATTTTGAGGCCAGGTTCTGATGCAGAGTGCTTTTTATGATGATGCATTTTCTACTGTCAGTCCTTGAGGATTGTAACCATCTCATCCCACTTCTGCTCAATAATATATTAATTTAAACACCAAGTTGTGTTTTTCCTCTCACTTACTGTTTTTGCCACAGCACCCCAAAATTGTGGAGAAGTTCAGGTAATTTAATAGAACAGAAATAACAGATAAAAATTAAATGTGTAACTTTATTTCCTAAACTATTCTCCAGAAACATCAGATGATATGTATACAGAAGTCCCTCGTTTATTGTGGGTGTTAGAGTCCAGCTCCCTGGCTCCCACCCCACCATAAATGAAAATCTGCGAAGTAGCGATGTTATATTTCTTTTATATTTCTAGAATTGTGCCAGTCAAGGTGGCTGCATGTTGGAGTAGCTCTCTTATATTCATTTTGAGATTTTGCTTTTGGAAACTTTAATTCCTTTTTCTAGATTTAAATCGCTTTTTTTTCAGATGATTACTTTCTCTTGTATCAGATGCTGTGCAGCTGGAAGGATTTTTACTGAAACCTTTTTTACTTTTGGACATTTGTTATGATGCGTAACCATGACAACAAGGTGGTTTTCTACAACTGGGAGCAGCTGATTAACATCTCAAAAGCTCAAATAATACCTCAACTACAGACTTGAATCCCAAATGAGTTGAAAAGGATGTGCTATGGATGCATTCCCATCTATCCGGAGGTGGTGCTCGAGTGCCTGACCATCAAGATCTTGGAGGTGGCGGGAAACACAGCTTGTGACGGCAGTAGGACCGAGATCGTCCCCTGGCACCTGCAGTTAAGTCCGCGGCAATGAAGGGCTCGGCAGGCCGCTGGGAGAAATGGCCATCGCTCAGGGAGGAGTTCTTCCCGGCATTCGGGCAGTCATGCTGCCCAAGAGGATCGAGAGGTCTGCTGGGTCTGGGTGGATGGATCGACATCTGCAGTCAGTTTCTTCGTATCTGCTGTGGGACGGAACGCTACAAGAGATTCTTCCTGCCCACATCCATCAGCATCTATAACAACTCTTTAATGAAACCAGGATGATGAGCTACAACAACAATTAATTTCCCTTTGGGATTAATAAAGTATTTTTGAATTGAATTGAATATTTATTTTAGTATTTATATATATTTTGAGGCTTTAGAAACCCTTCACACACTCTTGCAATGTTCTAAACTCTTAAACCTACGTCATTTTAACAAGATACATACAGTACTGTATATGTAGCTACTAAATTTTATTTATTAGCTCTGCAGAACAGAAGCGGCTTTCATTTCGGTCCGACTCGGTTCCGTTTCTGCAGACGTACCCTGCAGCAACGAAGCCCACAATAAATTTTCTAAACTCTTGAACCTACTAATTTGAACAACATACTTATATGTACAGTAGCTTCTAAATTTTACTTACCAGTGCATCCCAGCTCAGAGGTCCTCGTCGGCCAGTTGAAAGAGATGGAAGTCCACGTGGGTGGGCTACCAACTCTCAAGATTCACAGATGGGTCTGGAGGTCTGGTTTTGCTCCGGTTCTGCTCTGGTTCCGTGCAGCTTCTCTGCATCCGCTGGGCGCAGAAGTCACTGTAACAAGCACCAATTTTTTCTGATCAGATCAAAACTTTCTGTCTAGTTTTTCAGCAGAAGGAAACAGGCTTCTGGGCGGGGCCCTGTTGGCTTCCTGGAAATGTGGCCGTTATGAGTGGGAATACAGTGTAGGCTTATTGAGAAAAAACTACAAAATGGCGGTGCCTGTCCAAAATAATTATATTTTTCGTTAACTTTTTACTGTACAGTATTGTCCCAATCACGTGAGTAATATTAAAGTTGACGATCATGTGTCCTGTACAGTTTTATTTAGTACAAACCGGATTCCAAAAAAGTTGGGACACTAAACAAATTGTGAATAAAAACTGAATGCAATGATGTGGAGGTGCCAACATCTAATATTTCATTCAGAATAGAACACAAATTACAGATCAAAATTTTAAACTGAGAGGATGTATCATTTTAAGGGAAACATCTGTTGTTTCCAAATTTCGGGGCGTCAACAAATCCCAAAAAAGTTGGGACAAGTCCATTTTTACCACTGTGTGGCATCCCCCCTTCTTCTTACAACACTCAACAGACGTCTGGGGACAGAGGAGACCAGTTTCTCAAGTTTAGAAATAGGAATGCTCTCCCATTCATGTCTAATACAGGCCTCTAACTGTTCAATCGTCTTGGGCCTTCTTTGTCGCACCTTCCTCTTTATGATGCGCCAAATGTTCTCTATAGGTGAAAGATCTGGACTGCAGGCTGGCCATTTCAGTACCCGGATCCTTCTCCTACGTAGCCATGATGTTGTGATTGCTGCAGAATGTGGTCTGGCATTATCGTGTTGAAAAATGCAGGGTCTTCCCTGAAAGAGATGACGTGTAGATGGGAGTGTATGTTGTTCTAGAACCTGAACATAGTTCTCTGCATTAATGGTGTCTTTCCAGAAATGCAAGCTGCCCATGCCACAAGTGCTCATGCAACCCCATACCATCAGTGATGCAGGCTTCTGAACAGAGCATTGATAACAACTTGGGCTATCCTTGTCCTCTCTGGTCCGGATGACATGGCGTCCCAGTGTTCCATAAAGAACTTCAAATCATGACTCATCTGACCACAGAACAGTCTTCCATTTTGCCACACTCCATTTTAAATGACCCCTGGCCCAGTGCAAACATCTGAGCTTGTGGAGCTTGCTTAGAAATGGCTTCCTCTTTGCACTGTAGAGTTTCAGCTGGCAACGGCGGATGGCACGGTGGATTGTGTTCACTGACAATGCTTCCTTGAAGTATTTCTGAGCCCATTCTGTTATTTCCTTGACAGTGGCATTCCTGTTTGAGGTGCAGTGACGTTTAAGGGCCCGGAGATCACGAGCATCCAGTAGAGTTTTACGGCCTTGACCCTTACACGCAGTGATTGTTCCAGATTCTCTCAATCTTTTGATGATGTTATGCACGGTTGATGATGACAACTTAAAAGTCTTTGCTATTTTACGCTGGGTAACATAATTCTGGTATTGCTGCACTATCTTTCTGCGCAGCAATGGTGGAATTGGTGATCCTCTTACCATCTTGGCTTCTGAGAGACACTGACACTCTGAGAAGCTCTTTTTATACCCAATCATGTTGTCAGTTGACCTAATTAGTGTTAGTTGATCTTCCAGCTGTTCGTTATATGCTCAATTTCCTTTTTCCAGCCACTTATTGCTACGTGTCCCAACTTTTTTGGGATTTGTTGACACTGTGAAATTTTGAATCAACATATTTTTCCTTTAAAATGTTACATTTACTCAGATTAAACTTTTGATCTGTCATCTATGTTATATTACGAATAAAATATTGACATTTGCCATCTCCACATCATTGCATTCAGCTTTTATTCACAATTTGTTTAGTGTCCCAACTTTTTTGGAATCCGGTTTGTATTTTTGTTCAATATTATGTACTGTACGTTCACAAACTGCGATAGCGTGAGTCCGCAAAAGTCCAACTGTGAAGCAGTGAGGGACTGCTGAGCCACCATGTGTTATTTGTTGGGTGCACCATGTAAAGGAGCTTCAACTAATTAGAATAGAAGCATAAAAGCAAGTTTCTTTCAACAATTCTTCGCATAAAAATGCCTTTAAATTTTTTTGTTGTTGCTTTTTATTCCACAGAGCAACGGCTGAGGGAGAAAGAAAAGCTTTTACAAGAACTGAACACTCAATATCATGATCTTGGTACAACATGGATCAGCAATTCACACACACCTCCTGTATAAATACACACATTTAAATTGATGGTAGGTAATGGTTCTTGTTTGTGTTTGTCGGTTCGGCCCTCCTCAGAGTTTCCCTCCCGGAGCAGCAACGAGGTTGATTCTGAATTTAGAACGAGCCGTGCGGCTGTTATCGCCTCCGAACCGATTCCTGAAACTGTGGAAATATCACACACTAAAGTCAAGAAGACGGTCAGGTGAGTGAGTGGCACTGCTGGTGAGAAGGTGGTTTTCAATCTTGATAAATTAGATTTCTTTTAATCAAACTTCTTCCATCACCAGCGAGACCAGTCTGATTGTTAAAGCCATCCAGAAAAATGACTTCCTGAGCCGCCTCGACGATGAGCAGATAGCCATGATGGTGGACCTTTTAGTGGCATCTCACATTAAACCTGGGGGGGAAGTCATCAGCGAGGGGTCTGAAGGAGACAGCATGTACATTGTTGCAGGTGAGGACATGACCTGAAAAATCTAAATCTACTTGTCTTCAGTGTTATTGTGTTTGTCGGAATGCAAAAGTTGTCACAAGAACAGAATACCCAGAGCAAAAGGACTGGTGATGAACAACCCAGACAATTCAGTGCTTTTATTTACAGTGAGCAATAATTCAGGATGTAACAGGAACCCTGGGGGAGCAAGGAGATGGGTCAGGTTCGGAGTTCTGCAATGAGGGTTTGATCAGAACTCCTTGCTAGTAGATGGATGGTAAGTAGTTTGGTTCCAATGTCCTGCAAAATTGTGAGAAGGTCCAGTAGACTCAGAAGGGCATATAGTTGGAGGGCAAGGAGAAAAGCTGAAGAGTGCACAGCTAAGGTTTCCAGAGGTTCATTAAGAGGACCAATAGGTCTCAGGAGGCACACTGGAAAGATCACAAGGCAAAAGGTAATTAAACACAAGACCTGAGAATCACAAAGTGCTGCAAGCATGAACCATAGGCAGGGTAATCTTCCAGTATTGGAGGGAAGTCATCAGGTGCCTTATATTCAGATCTCTCTATATATAGGTATTTATATTCTGCTCTTTATATATAGGTTTTTATATTCTGGCCTCTCTGTATAGGTCTTTATATTCTGGTCTCTCTATATAGGTCTTTATATTCTGGTCTCTCTATATAGGTCTTTATATTCAGGTCTCACTTGTAAATGAGTCACAGAGACTCAGTGGGATTAACCTGTGTAAATAAAGGTTGAATGACTATACACCAGGGCAGCATGGTGGCGCAACTGGTAGAGCTGCTGCCTCTCAGCGAGAAGGTCCTTGGTTCAAACCCCGGTCCAGGGGCCTTTCTGGGTGGAGTTTGCATGTTCTCTCCGTGCATGCGTGGGTTTTCTCCAGGTGCTCCGGTTTCCTCCCACAGACCAAAAACATGCATGTTAGGCTGATTGGTAACTCTAAATTGTCCCTAGGTGTGAGTGAGAGAGTGAATGGTTGTTTGTCTCGTTTGTCTCTATGTGGCCCTGTGATGGACTTGTGACCTGTCCAGGGTGTACCCCGCCCCTCGCACAGTGATTGCTGGACATGGGCACCAGCGACCCCCGTGACCCAAAATGGAATAAACGGGTAAAGATAATGGATGGATGGATGGATGAATATACACCTGGAGACTCACCAGGCAACATTGCTTGCAGGTGGGGTACTATGGCGCCCTCTGGTGACCAACAACAGACATGGAACAGGAACTCCCACAAAAGTAAAAATGTCCCCTTCATACACATTCATTCATTTTAGTTTCATGTGAAAAATGTGACTTGGGTGAAAGAGTTTAAATATCTGGGTGTCTTGTTCATGGGCGATGGTAGGCTGGAGCGAGAGATGGATCAATGGATTGAGGCCTCATTGTCAGTAACGAGAATGTTGCTTTGGTCGACCATGGTGAATAGAGAGTTGAGTCGAAAGGCATAACTCTTGATTTACTGGTCTGTCTACCTTTCAGCGTACAGTCATGAGGTTTGGATCATGACTGAAAGAACCGGATCAATATACAAGCAGCCTAAATAATTTTCCTTTATAGGGTGGTCAAGCTCAGCCTTAAATAGTTTGAGGAGCTCCGTCATTCGGGGTGAGCTCGGAGTAGAGCCGCTGCTCTTTCGCATCAACAGGAGTCAGTTGAGATGTTTCGGGCTTGTCATAGTTTGTGGCTGTAATTAATTTTATTCCTTGTTTTCATCTTTTAGTTTTAATCCCTTTGTGGTTTATGTCTTTTGAGGTTCTTGTGCATCACATGTCCAGTCCTCCCCAGTCTTTGCCCCTCATGTAGTCAGCTCTTGATCCTCCCGCTCTCACCTGATCCTCCTTTTCTCCCCAGGTGTTTTGCCATTTCTCTCTCGTTAGGGTCCTATTATGTCCAGTCTCGTCTTTAGTTTCTCATCCTGGCATTCAGCTGTCAAGCTGTTCATGTTTGGTATCCTTCGAGTTTTCCAGCACGTTTTGTTTACTTAATGAATCTTTTTTTTAGTTTAACCTCTGAGCTCCTCATGTTTGTCTGCCCCCTGGGTTAGACTTTTCACTCAACATGACGAGGCTTCTGATTATGATGCCTCCTGGAAACCTCCTTTAGGAGGTATTCTAGGAAAGTCATACCAGGAATAGGTTCCCGGGAAGACCCAGAACTTGCTGGAGGAACTTTAATCTCTCTGAGCATGCATCAGGATGTAATCTCTCTGGCTCCGGGAAGCATCGTGGTCCCTAGGAGGAGCTGGAGAGTGTCGCTGCGGGATGTCCAGGTTTCTCTCGTAGACCTGTTGCCTCCACGACCCGACTGAAGACAAGTGGTTGGAGATGGAAAAACATGTAATTCTAGAAAACGTTCATATTTGCTTATTTTTTTTCAGATGGTGAGTTGATTGTCACCCAGGCAGGCCGGGACCTCCGGACTCTCATCCGGGGAGATGTTTTCGGAGAGTTAGCCATCCTGTACAACTGCAAACGAACAGCAACAGTCAAAGGTTTGCCTCTACAATATATAGCATATCAATTCTTATTAAGAATACTGTTTTTTTTTTACTCTGTTGTTATAAAAATATGTTTATTTTTGTGATTTGAAGATTCTCAGGCATTCCTGAGTTTTCCAGTGAGCATCTATGCACAAGGCACAGATCAAATAATTTCCTTTGTTTTCTTTTTCTCAATGAAACTAATAAAAAAAAGAAAAACATGAAAAATACCAACAAACAGCAGTGTGAGGTCAAACAGATCTGTGGTACAGTTTGAATAATAACTTGAGCTTACTGAGTAAGCACTGATTGGAAAATGGCCCTTTTGGGGGGGGAATAACTTCCGGACATGGCCTATTACGAGGTTCTTGCACCAAGTTATGTTTAGGAACGATAAACAGTGGCTGGTTTTGAAATCTGATTACCTGTGATGGACCAAAATGTTAGGATTATTCTTTTCTTTTAGCCTTTATTTAAGCAGGAAAGTCACATTGAGATTAAAAAACCCTTTTCAAGGGAGACCTGCAAGATAGACAGAAGAAAATATGTTTTACACCCTGTGGTAAAACCTTTGTATCCTTAAAAAAAACTATCAACTCAAAAAATTTCATTAGATCCTCATGATTTTACTAGATGATTTATTAACACGAAGTAGCAGCAACCAATTAGAACTAAACATTATTTATTTATTTATATGAAGATATATATTTTAATGTCCAACTTTACTAAAAAAAAAAGTAATCTCACATTTTGCTCCCTTGATTGTTTTGTTGGTTTTTAGAGGATTTAAAATATGTCATAAAATGCTTCAAACTCAGCTTAGTTAAAAAAAAACAACAACTATCATATAAGATAACTTTTGCCCATTAGTCACATTATTAATTAAATTTGGGGACTCTAACTCCTTGTACAAGTCACTTTCAGCAGTTCAGTTCTTGAAGCTTCCACAGACTGTAAAGTTAACTAAACCAGTTATTCACACCTATTGATCACCCTTTCTCAGAAAAATTAATTCTATTAATGTACTTGTATGATCAAAATATTTAGGGGTGCACCGATTGCAGTCTTCTGGCCGATCACTAATCACCGATTTCTAAAAAGTCTGACCTGCCGATTCTGATTTTGGCCGATATCGATTCTGTTTTATAAGCGACACTGTCAGATGTTATACGGTCACAATGCACCTTCAATTTTCCAATCCTATTTTATTGATAAACATATCCTTGAGCAATATCCTAGAAACATTACAAACTTGTTTTAACTGGCCATGAGGTAGTGCTCTGAAGTATAAATGAAGTTCAAACAGTTGCTGTTAAAACAAACAAAAAAAATTGGTAAAATCGATTTCTCAAGCAAGTATCAGCCGATTTCCCCAAATTAAGGAAATCGGCCGGCCGATTTATCGGTGCACCCCTAAAAATATTCTGTGTGGCTGACCGTATTTGGTGTTTAACTCATGATGCAGCAAAGACCTCCGTGCACCTGTGGTGCATGGAGCGCCAGACCTACAGAACCATCATAACCAACAAGTCCAAGAAGAAACGGGAGCAGCTCATGGGCTTCCTGAAGACGTGAGTCTAAACACTTATCTGCTGATATGAGTTTGAAACTGTTAATTTAGTCATAGATTCTAGCAGTCATAACTCTGCTGTTTATATTTTACTGCGGTCATTGGCCACATGAGTGACGGTTTCTGACTTTTTAATTTGACCAGGTCTCACACTCTGAAGGACTTAAATGATGTGCAGTTGTCAAGGATCATCGACTCTATGGAGGAGGTGAGTTCCCCAAATTGAACAACCTTTTCTTGGGGAAAGCACATCAAAGTATACACAGATGTTAAAACACTTTGGATGAGTTAAAAACGTTAATAATTTGGATTAAATGGTAGAAATACATAAAATGGCTCATAGCAAAGATATATGGTATTTACTAGGTGTGCCTTCTGTAAGTATTAACGTCACTTAATGACAGAGCCTGGTCCCAGTAGGTAACAGGTATGTACTAGTAAGTACTCAATATGTACTGGGCCTTACTTTTAATTGCTTTGAATTAGGTTTATGCTGATTGGCAACTCTAAATTGTCCCTAGGTGTGAGTGAGAGAGTGAATGGTTGTTTGTCTCATTTGTCTCTATGTGTCCCTGTGATGGACTGGAGACCTGTCCAGGGTGTCCCCCGCCTCTCGCACAGTGATGACTGGACATGGGCACCAGTGACCCCCCGCGACCCAAAAATGAAGAAGCGGTTCAAAGATAATGGATGGATGGTTTATGTATTTCTTTGTAAATATTATGGGATGTTCAGGAGGTCAGGATAAATGACCACATTTTCAAGTCAATCACGACGATTGGAGAGAATTCCCAACACTTTTTTCCTCCATTTTGTCTTTTCAAGGCAAAGTTTCAAGACAAAGATGTTATCGTCCGCGAAGGAACAGAAGGAAACACGTTCTACATCATCCTCAAAGGCGAGGTAACTAAATATAAATGTAAATATAAATAAAACTCTCACTATAATTCACATTTTTATTCATTTTCTTGCTTTAATGTGCATTTTCCTTTCAGGTTTTGGTGACCAAGAGTGTGAACGGACATCAAAAGACCATTCGCAGGATGGGGAAAGGGGAGCACTTTGGGGAGCAGGCGCTCATACGGTAACCATGGAAACGCAGTTCAACCCTATAGACATTTGTGAGATCCTTTGAAGAACATCCACAACTCCAGTACGCACGTTCTGCTGCCATGGGGCTGATGGACACGGATTATTTATTTATATTCTGCGTGAACAAAACAAAGAACAGATGAAATGATGGAGTTTCAGCTGCACAGCAGGAATAAAATTTTTTTTTTTTTTAAATAAATCCAAAATGAGCCGGTTCCAAAAAAAAAACATTGGTATTATGTTTTTCTGCTTTAGATGTGCTGTGAAGCTTCTCTAAAGGCCTAAATAAATAAATGCAGCACTTCAGACTTATTAAATATGCACAAATATGATTATCATTATATATATATAATTAAATGTGTTTCTTTTCAGGACGTAGTTGCCTAAACTCACTCTGTTTGATTAAATATTATCCTGAACTTTATTGAACGTGTGAGCTGTGTGTATGTTCTAGTGATGGAGATGATGTTTTGTTGTTTATCTTCTTGCAGGGAGGTACTGAGAACGGCCACCTGCACGGCCAACGGCCCCGTTACATGCTTCTCCATTGACAAGGAGTGAGTTTGATTAAAACTGTTGTCAGTCCGGCTCTGAACTGAGTGTCTCTGTCCTCGTTATGTTTGCACAGAGGATCCTCTCTGTTTCAGTGATGCTGCACAGCTTGACATTGTTGCTGTTGTTTTAGGGTTTTTGAAGAGACAATCCCCGTAGAGCACCTGGAGCTGTTCGATGAGTACGTGTCACAAAACGCACTAAGATTTTTGATGTGAGGAGGGAAACACTGTTCCTGTTCGTTCTCTGCTCTCACCTGGTCATGTCATGTGTTTAATCTCTAGCTCCAAAGTGATGCAAGAGGCACAAGCTCCAGAAAAGTCAAGGTGAGCGACTCAAAGGCTTTGGTGCCTTCAGCATATTTCCTCCTGACAGGAATAAAAATGCAACATCAGACTCTTGCTGAGCTACAAACTTATTGTCCATTCCAGGATTTAGTTTTACCTTGTTTTGTGGTTCTTTTTATTTTGACCATCACCTTACTTTATTTGAAATTTCACTCCCTCACATTCCCAAAGAAGAGTGGGGTAGCATGCCCAAATCAAAACCACATAACATAATTTCAGGAGTTTTATTGTGCCGTGTCATAAATAGGAAAAGTGCAGCAAAGTGGGAGTTAAAGAATCAGCTTCTGATGTCAGTCCAAAGCTGACATTACAAACTAAAAACAACTCAACTTATTAAAGTTTGTCCTCCCTTCTCTTAAATTCACATTCACAAGATAAACTAGCATTTCTTTTGGAAAAATGTAAATCAACCATTTTTCTAAATTCAAATATTTAGCCATTTTAATTATGTGTTTTATTGATTGTACCACTTTTTGCTCAATTGAGATCTAAATAAACTTAAAAAAAGATTAATCCAACTGAATAAAAATGTCACATATTAGCTTTTCAAAGTGATGTAGTTCTGGTTTAAAATGTGTGTTTCAGTCCCAGCTCTTCACTGAGGTTCAAGGATTTGGTTCCTGTCTGTTATCAGGAGGGTCGGTATCAGGGGGATCCAGTCACACTCGGAGTTGGAGGGTTCGGTCGTGTGCAGTTGGTGAGTTGGGTGATTTTTATTTTTCCAAGTGTTCTCTCAACAAAAGCTTTCCGATCTAAAGGGCTAAGTCAAAAATGCTTGTTTTTGATAATTTCAGATGGCAACAATAAATCATGGGAAATATTACGCCATGAAGCGAGTCAGCAAGAAGCAAATTGTTGCAAAGAGGCAAGAGGAGCACATGCTGTTTGAGAGGAAGATCCTCAAAGCGATCCAGTGTGACTTCATTGTCAAGTATTTGCCAACTAAACACAATCTCTTTTTTTAAACATTAAACACCAACTAAATGCTCGTGATGTCTAAAACTATTCTCCTTTGATTATTTTTTAGACTTTATGCTGCCTTTAAAGACACAAGATATATCTACATGATGATGGAGTTCTGTGGAGGCGGGGAGATCTGGACCAAACTTAAAGAAGTGTAAGGAACATTAAAGAATAGTTTAAATGAGTATCTCATGCCCACATTCAGATTAAATAAGTTGAAATCAGTACAAATTTGCAAGTGTGCAAAATTTGAGGTTCATTAGTTTAAAACTAATTTGATTGCATTTTGAGGTCATGACAGAAAAACAAACAAAAAACAGTGAACAGTAGCAAACTGAGTTTATTTTCAAATGTTTTGGAAAAGTCTCATCTTGAGATCTGTCTTGCTACCAGAGGGCGATTTGATGAGCCGATTTCTGTGTTTTGCTCCGCCTGTGTGGTGGAGGCCTACGCTTACCTCCACAAGAAGAGCATCATGTACAGAGACCTGAAGCCGGAGAACCTGATGTTGGACATGAGAGGCTACGTTAAACTGGTGCGTCATGAAATGTGAAGAAGTGTTTTGTATCTTTTCATTTCTACCTAAACATCGTGCATATGTTTTGCACTCTTAATAGTATAGCTCAGGGTTGTCCAAAGTGCGGCCCGAGGGCCATTCGCAGCCCTTCGAATGATTTTGTGCGGCCCACGACTGCAATTAAATAATGGCATAATTTGGACCCACAGGCCTAAGAGGTTGATGCAGATGCAGACCTTCTTTAGATTTAATTGTGATACTTTTTAAATATAATTTTTAGGTTTAACATCAAAACAGATGAAAATAATCTTCTCGAAATGAGCTAAATTAAGTACAATACACATATTTAGCTATAATTAATCCTTTTATCCTACAACAAACCTTCACTGACTTCTACTGGAAAGTAAAAAAATTGGATAATACTTCATAAAACTTGGCTAAATATAACAAATGTTTTCAAAGAAAAAAAATTTCAGTTTATTTAATAGCCGATGGGGAGAAATTGGATGTTTTTAAAGAAATATAAAGTGGTATCATCGGCGTACAAGTTGATGAACTTTATCAGTGTCCCTTCAAACTTTCTGTGAATCTGTTTTAGCGACTGCCAGCTGGACAGTTTTCCAGAACTTCCATGAAACTTTTGGGCCAACCATGGTTTAAATGGGTGATTGAAGGCCCCCCCCCCCCCCCC